GACCTTGTGGCTGCCTATAAGTTCATCATGGGGGCACAGAAGGGAATTGGTGAGGCTTTACTCACCAAGGCGCCCCTGGGGGTTACAAGAAATAACGGCCATAAGCTAGCAGAGAGCAGATTTAGACTAGACATTAGGAAGAACTTCTTCACAGTTAGAATAGCCAAGGTCTGGAACAAGGTGGTGCTCTCCCCTACCCTGGGGGTCTTCAAGAGGAGGTTAGATAGGCATCTAGCTGGGGTCATCTAAACGCAGCACCCTTTCCTGCCTATGCCGGGGGTCGGACTCGATGATCTATTGAGGTCCCTTCCGACCCTAACATCTATGAATCTACAAATCTATGAACCAATGCCCATTGGGATGCAGTGGAGAGACCCCTGCAGCAGAGAGCAATGACTCTGGCAGGGATGAGGGTCATCCCCACCCTTTCTGCCCTGTCCGCTCCTGGCTCTGGACATCTCACACTAATTACCTCAGAGGGTGGGTGACATGGAGATGATCCAGAAGCTTCCCACTTGCTTCCCAGGGCTCCAAGAGGACTGAATTTTAGAAGCAGGCTCTGCTCATGGTGAAGTGCTGCTGGGCTGCTCATTGCTTTTTCTCTGATTTAGATTGGGACACAGAGGAGCTGCCCATCTATTCCAGTGTACTGTACTGTAGCCTGCTCTGTAGTGAGTGTCCCTCCCTTTCTGTCAGGCAGTGAGGTCTTGGTGGGACACAACTGTTGGGCTGTGGGTTCCCTGGAGGATTGGGCCAAAAGAAATCTCATGAGGTTCAACAAGGACAAGTGCAACGTCCTGCACATAAAATGGAGCAATCTTTTACACCCTTACAGGTGGGGGACTGACTAATTGGGCAGTCAGGCTAAGAGAAAACTGAGTTTGCAGCCTTCAACTAACTGACGGGTGGTCCCAAAGAGGATGGATCTAGATTGTTTTCAGTGATGACAGATAAGAAAACAGGAGCATGGTCTCAAGCTACAGCAAGGGAAGTTTAGGTTAGATATTAGGAAAATCTTTCTCACTAGGATGGTAGTAAAGCACTGGAATAGGTTACCCAGAGGGGTTGTGGAGTCTCCATCCTTGGAGGAGTTTAAGACCCAGCAAGACAAAGGCTTGGCTGGGATAATGTTGGGGATGGTGCTGCTTTGAGCAGGGAATTGGACTAGATGACCTCCTGAGGTCCCTCCCAACCCTAATTTTCTATGATTCTTGCACCATTTGCTATTGTGAACCCTAGAGGAACAAGGTGGTTCCATGGTGCGTGGGGTTACCTGGAGACAAACACAAGCAACCTTTTGAATTGCCACTAAAAGCTCAGTGCTAGAAGCCCCATTTCCTCTGGAGGAACCTAATCCACTTCACTCTATTGTTTCTTACTGGTTTGGAATAATTCTAAGCCTTAGTCTGTCTGCCAGTGCATAATGCTTTATTCGCACTGATTGGTTGTCTCAGCAGCCAATCAGAGTGCTCCAACAGACAGACACAAGGCAGAGCGCCACCATGACAGCGGGGCCGGAGGGCAGGAGCAGGGGGGCTGGCCTTGCTCCCCCCGCCCCCGCTCCTTGGCACCAGGGGCTGGAGCGGCCCCCCACAACAACAGCTGGGGGAGGGGGAGGCAGCAGGGAAGAGGGGAGAAAGGGAGGGAAGGAGCAGGGCAGGAAGAGGAAGATATAGGGTTACTGGTGATAGCGTGCGGCCGCTTGCTGCTGCCACTGGCCCTGGCCCTGGCCGCCTGCTGCCACTGCCAGCCCTGGCTGCCAGCCGTCCCTGCCAGCCCCGGCCACCCGTTGCCACCATTGGGCCCAGCCACCACCGCCCACCACCCACTACCGCTGCTGCCAGCCACTGCCACATGCAAGCTCCTGCCCTCCCCTGCCCTGGGAGGCAAGAGATTGGAGGGGCACACAGGCCTGCACCCAAAGCAGCAGGGGGGAACTTGACATGACATGATATTCGAGCCCAGGCCCAAAGCAGCAGGTGGGGAATGGAGGAAGCCAGACCCCGACCCGAGTTCAGGGCTGGGGGTGGGTGATGCAGGCCTCTGTCCCTTCCACCTCCCTTTCCCCCCATCGTCATGCTTGACGGACAATTTGTTAGTCTATAATAATAATAATAGGCTTATTCTGTCTGTCTGGAACACTTTGATTGGTTGTCTTTGTAGCCAATCACAATGCTTAATGAAAAAACCAATCAAAGTGCTCTGGGCAGACAGGTGGCAGGCTCTGCCGAAGCGGGGGGCCGTGGTGGGAGAGATAAGTGGTGAGGGGCCCGATCCTTTTATTTTTCCCCCTGAAGCCTGCCCACCTATCCCACAGCTGGGGGGCAAGTTGCTGCCAGGCCCAGAGCTGTGGGGGGCCCTGGTGCTTCCTCCATGGCAGCAGCACCCCCAGGGACTGCCCAGGCAGGGTGCCAGCGGGTGGGTGCTGCCCAGGGGGTGCCACTGCCACAGAGGGAAGCACCAGGGTCCCCCACAGCTCAGGGCTCACCAGCAACTCACTTCTGAGCTGTGGGAGATGCAGGTGGGCTCCGGAAGAAAAAAAAATAAAATCAGGATGCTCACCACTTTTTCTTTTCCTCAGCAGAGCCTGTCCACATGACCTGCCACTGGATCATGTATCCCCTGAGCTGCAGGGCGGCCCCGGTGCTTCCCTCTGTGGCAGTGGTGCCCTCCGGGGCTGCCCAGGTAGGGTGCTAGCTGCGCAGGTGCAGCTCCAGCTCACAGGCAGCACCTGCCGGATCCAAAGGTGCAGGGGATGCTGGAAGCCCAGGCATGCTTGGGGAAGCTCAGGCTTGGCAGGCTTCCAGCACCCTATGCACCATCCCTGCCACCTTCCCACCACCTGGGACTGCCTGGGAACAGCTTGGCTATCCCAGGAAGGTGGCAGGAGGGTGGCGGGGATGGTGCCTTTTGATGGTGAGAAGTTTTGATTCTGTTACAATATTTGGTCAATGGATAACTAAAAATCCTTTATTTAAAGAAACACTTTTCCAATAAAAATTTAATTGCAAATGTTTTGCAGGTTTCAACCAGTGTGGACAATAAATCTTAAAAACCCAGGGGTAGAAAAATGAGCTTGCATAACATATAGTAGGAAAGAGTCTCTGAAATGCCAGCGCATATAAAAATGATTTTCTTAGGAACTTCCTGATGCAAAGAACTTGCTACTAGTTGATACCTGGAATGGCCCAAGGTGGAATATGTACCACTGTCTGCTTCCCCAAGGTAGCATGTAGAAAGCCACTGCCAACAATAGAAAAGAGATCCATCCCTGGTCCCAATCCTTATTCAAAGGACTTGTAGGGCTGGTGAGGCGACTCCCAGCGCAGTGTCACTTTCTGAAGGCTGAAGATGCTAATATATGTGGTTTGGCTGCTTTTACAGAACATCATGAAAATTATTTTTCCATGTCCTCAGGTGCTGGCTTGTGGTCTAGCAGTGACTGGCTGGTGGTACAGGGAAGCTTGTCAATAGATGTCAGTGCCTGGTTTGTTACTCAGAGCTGCCATATGGAGGCTGGACACCTCAGAGACTTCTTGCAGAAGCATTTGCATATATGTGACTCACAAGTTGTAGTTGAGAGCATGCTGCTGCTATTTGATAATATGGAAGGCATTGTAACCCAGGAGGGAGACCCTATAGAGAAAAAAAGAAACCTGGTGTTAAGATGAGAGATCAAAAGCCAAATGCTTTCTCTTTAGCCACACTCAGAGGCTCAGAATAAAGCATCTCTCCCAGCGAACTGCTGCTAGCCACTTCCAAAAGTTCCAAGTGTCTCTTGCAACCAAGTGTGTGTCCCAAAGAGATCCCTTTTAACACACCACAGCCCCGTGAACTTGTTAGGAACTTCCTATGTATTATGGAAATGGGTTGGCCTCTTGGAAGCAGGGAAGACATTTCCTCCCTGACTCCAAGGAACACTGAGATAGGACCCCATGTTTTGCACATGTGTCTGGAATATGTTACATACGGTTGGGTTGAACATTTCTTATTCTTTTAACAACTGACATAGGAGCATTGGATTGGCCAGAGCCTCCTAGGCCATAACGTCCCCCGCATCTGCATGTTTACAGACAATTCTAAACCCAAGGAATCCCCCAAATCAACACTTCAGACCCTCACACAGAACTACAAGGAACAAAAACTGAAGGACCAGAATAACCCAGCATCACACCATTAGTAAAGGAAAGGGAGATGAAGGCATGGCCAGTGCCCTGCCATGCCAATGACAGAGATGTAGTTGGTTAATATACGCTCAGCAGATCCTAGGAGGACTATGCCCCACACCACAGAAGCAAACAACCCCCTCAGTTCAAGTGGATTAGTACTGTGCTAAATGGACATGGGGTGGCCGAAGCCAAGATTTTCAAAGATGGCTGCCTAAACTGAGGCTCTTCGTGGATTTATTCAATTTTACCGACTCACCGAAGTCTGAGGTGTTATACTGGAGTAAATCAGGACATCTCTGAAGAGAAACCCTAAAACGTCATCCCCAGTTCCATTAACAATGATTGTATTGCCAGGATATGACCAGTCACTGTGTTGATGAGCTTTGTTTTTTAGATTGTGCTTCTTGCTCCTGCCTTAAACTTCTTCTTTGAGTTGCCTTTGTGGCCTAAAACTCTCTAGGGCAAAGACCACAGCTTACATTTGCATAATGCCTAACCCATTTTGGGTGCTATCAGGAGCACATCAGTAAACAGAATGGTAACAGCACTAACTTACTTGTAATGCTATTGAGAAAGGATGTATCCTATATAATGTGCAACATTTTCCTCTAGCTGTGTCTCACCCAGGGAATGCAACATATCTCCTTATCCTTTGCACTTCTGTGGTGTTTTGATTCCTTCTATACCATGTGCCAGATCCAAAGCTGGTAGATACTGAGGTAGATTGTCAAAGGCCCTACTGCTCTGCTGAGTCCTGCCCAGGATAGACTGTGGACTACTCTTTGATATTCCCCCAGGCCAGCAAAGTGGGTAGGCAGGGGCCTGGCACATGGGCTAGGGACAGAAGTTACACAGTTTAAGTGATCAGAAACTGGTTTAAACCTGTAACAGAACATACGTTCAGTGCACATAAACCAGTTTTAAAATGGTTGAAACCAGTTTGAGATAAACCTGGTTGAATGTAATATTAGACTTAACTGATTGAGCTCAAACCCAGTTATGCAACTTCTGTCCCAGACCTCTTCCTGGTTTAAGTTAAACCAGCATCCCCCAGCATCTCAGCATGCTCTGTAGCCCTGGGCTGGACTGTACTCCCTGCTCCAGCAGTGCAGGATTGGGCCCACCCCTCTGCTCTGTAGCCAGAGCAGGGACAGGCAGGGATGGGGGCCTGGCCAGATGCTGGCCCTGGAAGGGAGCAGGGAAGAGGTTTATTCCCACCATCCCTCCCCTGTCCCACCAGCACGGACCTGCCAGGCATTTTTCCGCTGACTGCTCCAGCAGCGGGGGTATGGCCAGCCCTGGCAGTAGCCTGGAGTAAACTGGCCAGGGGTGGGGGTTTAATTCTCCCTTCCCCATCCCAGCACCATGGACCTGAACTGGGGTCCACCTGGCACTCCCCACTGCAGCAGCAGGGGCATGGTCAAACACTGGCCAGCATGGCCCCTGAGGCAGAGGGGGAAGGGTGGGCGGTTATTCCCTCCTCCCTCCGGTGTCTGGCAGAGGGGGCAGGAGAGGGCTTATCCTGCTGCTCACCCTGTGCAGGAAGGGAGGAGCAGCAGCAGGAGTTGGGGTGGGCAGACCCTGGCTGTGGTCCCCTGGGGACAGAGTGGGGAATAACCCCCCTCCTTGCCCCCTTTGCCTCGGAAGCCATGCCAGCCAGTGTCTGGCCGCAACCCCACCCCCGCCGCTGCAGCAGCGAGTGGGGAATGCCAGGAGGACCCCGGTCTGGGGCTGTGGGACAGGGAGTGGGGAATTAAACACCCTCCCTGGCCAGTTCACTTTAGGTTACTGCCGGGCCTAGCCATGTCCCCCCAGCACAGCTCCCCTGAAACCAAGGGTGCCCCCTGGCTTTAGTACCCTCCAGCTTCTGACCTGAGCAACTGCAGACACATGCCTGCATTTCTGGAGTTAACAGTTAATGTTTATTCACTTGCAAATTGGTTCAATCTAGGCAGGTTAGACTAACCTGCAAAGTTTGAATCAATTCAGGCTCCAGCATTTTGAATGTCTGTCTCCAGCCATGAGGGGTGCCAAATCATTACAGCAACTGCCTCTCATTCAGGAAGGCTGGGGGCACAGCTTGAGCTCTGGCTTGCTCCAGGACAGAGAGCAGGGCAGAAGGCAGTGTTTCAGGCCCAAGCTAGTGCCCTCACCATCGCTACCCTCCTTCTATTTGTGCAGCCCCTTACATAATGAAGGCCCCATCCCTGGTTAGAAACCTGCTCCTGATAGCACTAAAAACAGTGTGGCCAGTATCCTGGAAACCTCCTTTACAAATCCTTTAGCAATATTCTTTCACCCAACATTTTTGCCAAAATACCTACTAACCAACAGAATATGCTGGAGTTCCAGGGTATAGAAAGTGATCCATAGAGGGAAAAACCAAGGCCAAAAATCACCTTCTCCTTCATGTGGATGTGAGACAAATGTCCTCCAGCAGTACCTGTAATCTAAATACACAAACACTCGGTCAATTTTGGCAACAGCCCTGTGAACTTCTTCATTAAACATATCAGCAACCTAGTATGAGGTCAATAAATTTCCAGTTTTACAATGGTGAAAAGGGTCCTTGTGTTCCAAGCTAGTAATGAGTTAGTGACAGGGTTGACAACACCAGTAACATCCACAAGACCCCGTCTATTTCCTAGGAGCCAAATCACCCTGCAACCATGCTCAGAATCCATGCATCTATTCTGGGAGGTCTGCCATGATCTGAAGACATGGGGGGTCAGACAAAGAACCGTACCACCCTCTGGTTTAGTACTGGTGCAAGAGGATGTTCCTCTATTGATGCTCTGTCTACTACAGCTCGGCATGGGGAAGAGGGTGGGAAAAGGGAGAACTCAACTGCTTTGTAATGGGACCAGAGAGTATGTAGATCACAACGGGGTGGCTTCAGAGAGAGGTTAGTCCTCTCCTGGTGAAGTACAGGCAACCCCCATTTAATGCTGTTTTGCTTAGCACTGTTTCGCTATAACACTCATTTTACATTGATACCCAATACTACTTAGCGTTCAGCAAGTTTTGTTATAACGCTCATAGCATTATACAACTGGCAGCAGGGAGTATAAAAATCCTCAGCCAAGCACTTCAAAACCTCCTGGGAAGATTGGTTTCACTTAATGCTATTCTGCTTAATGCTCGGTTTTTTGGGAACCGATTAAGAGCGCTAAGCAGGGGTTGCCCTAACCAACTAGAAGAAATAGGGGATCTGGGCTGCCAGTTCTCCATGAGGCCCCCATGGCAATGTTAGGGGGAAGAAATTAAAGCAGGAGAAGGAAGTGTTGCCCTATCCCTGTCATCAGTCCTGCCAAAGAGCACATCTGCTGCAGGGCTGAAGCTGCCTAGGAGTTCATATAGTGCTTTCATCCCCCAAACCAGCACACCTCACCCTGACACTGGAGAGTAGTAAGTTGGATTCTCCTGACACTGGTCTTGATCCATTGATTCCCAGCCCCCTCTGTGAGGCAGCAGGGAGCACTTGAGGAAATGTTGGTGGCATGTGCAGAGGTGTGGCATGCTGTCACCTTCATGATATGCAATGCATCACATGAACTGCCTGGGCAAGAGGAGGAGGAGCTCTCTGACTTAAGGACTGGTGCTTACTCCTCTTCTGAGAGTACAGGTTTCCCTTTATTTATACAGTAGATGCATTCCCAGGGAACGGCGCATAAAGCTAATTCACATACAGTGAACCCAGTTTACAATGAAACAGATAGGGATGTGTTCCCGTGGCAGTGAAAGAGGGCAGTAGTGATGCTGGGGCTAGGGAAGGGGTGGGGAGAGGAGAGAGGTGCAGCCCAGTAGCTGCAAGCGGGCAGCGTCTGCCACTCCTGGGGCTGCAGCAGGGGCAGCACCAGGCTCTTTGTGGTGCTCGGGGTGGGTGGCAGCCCCACTCAACCCACTACTCCCCACTCACCCCACTGCTCCACTTCTCCTCACAAACTGCAGCCCCTGCTGCAGCAGCCCCAGGAGCAGCTGACGCCAGCTGTCTGCAGCCACCGAGCTGCACCATGCCCTGAACCCCCCAGCACAGTGCAGCCCAGCGGCCGCAAGCAGGCAGCACCCACCACTCCCAGGGAAGAGCCTGGTGCCGCCACCAGCCCCAGCCTGCAGCGGCCACCGGCCCCAGCCTGCTCTCATCCCACTGCAGGCAGCTGCCTGCCCCTACTGCAGCCCTGGGAGTGGCAGACTGCCTTCTTGCAGCTGCTGGGCTATACTGCACCAGGTGCTGTGGGGCATGGTGCAGCCCAGAGACTGCAAGCTGCTGGCATCAGCCGTTCCAGAACAGCTGCAGCAGGGGTTGTGGTGAGTGGGGCCCCGGCCCCACGGCCCTTTCCCCTCTCCTTATCCATCCCCTCTGCTCACGGCCCTTTCCCCTCCCCTCACAAACTCACAGACTTACCTGCCTGGGGGATGGGGGAGCACGCCTACGCCAATCGCATAACAGCAAATTTCCCTTGCATATAACGAATTTCAGGTATAAAATGGGTCATCGCATAAGAGCGAATTTGCAGAAATCGAACCCACATAAATCGAGGGAAACCTGTACTAACAAGGTAGGCTTCCCCCTATACTGCATCTTGACCAGTTTGGCCCAGGTCAAAGGCTTGTCATTTGCCCATCAGACTGTCCAACAGCATTAGCACCTCTTAGCAACACCATTCTGTTGTGGCATCTTTGCTCCCAGCCTGGACAAAGCCAAGGAGGAGCTGAGTTACCTGGTAGATCCATGACTTGCACATGAACTCCACTCTGCACTAAGTCCCGGAGACCTTGTCGGTTGCGTTCATCCATGTGCTTGAACAGCTGGGCTGCCTTGATCACCAGGGTTACATGAGGGTGAGCCCGCAAAAACTGCAGGATCCTTCTACAGCATTGGCCGCAGGGACTCCAGGACAGGAACCAGGTGATATGGCAGGGCACAGGAGGATTGAACTGTAGCTTCCCAAAGGCATTTTCCAAGCAGTTGACTTCAGCATGTTGGGTGAGTGTGTTTGAGCACCAGTTTCTCCACACCTTGGATCCTTTACCCCACCTGATCTCATACAGCAGGTGCGTCACCTTGGGCCAGGTGCTGGGCATATAATTCTCCTGAAAGTCTTTCAGCTCTATCTTCCATCTGAAACATAAACACCATCAACCTTCCCCCCTTGGTATCTCATGCATCAGAGGCTCTGTACATTGACTACACCATCACTGCCTTTCTGTGTTTTTCATTCAAAGATGTTCCCTGGGCAGCTTTTCCATTCATCCCAAAATGCTCTCTGGGCTTTTCCATTCACTCACCAGAAAAAAATAACGGGCCCAGCATCCATTTCAAACTACAGAGGGACATTTAGAAGGAGTTGAAATCCAATGGTCTCCAGGAGGAATTCAGCCAAGTCACTAGTGTGATCTTCCTACAGTTCCCCCCTAGTGAGACATCCAGCCCATGCTCCAGAGCACAGCATTGGCTAGCACCACTCAGCAGCACTGGGGTTAGTGTGGGGCCTATGCAGTCACCCACACCAACCCTTGCAACATAGCCCCTTATGCACCCTGGGGAAATGCTTGTAGCAGTGAAACAGGATGACAGAGGAAGATATAGGGACAGATCTCGGCTAGAAATAATCAGAGTTCCTTTAAAGCTTCTCAGCTCCTGCAGATCTGACAGCACAGGGCAGTAGGTCTGACATTCTCACCCTTGGCTGGTGCCTAGGAGACCTGTTGAAGAAAGATTTGAAAGTCAGTTGGTGGAGGCAGCAACTTAGAAGAGTCCTCTGCCCTTTCCCTCCTCATCCCTGCTAGTCACTAGAGCTTGCCATGCCAAATCTCTTGCTCTCATTTTCCTTCACAGATGATCCCCACACAATCCTCATACTAGAGGGCTCTGCTCATATCCAGTATGCCCAAAAGGTAGAAATTCCTCACTGAGCCCAAATTTAGTGACTGTTTTAACTCTGTTTTTGCCTTCACACATGGGGTTTGATTCTGATCTGAAACTAGTTTTTTGCCTATGATATTCCAGTGGCGTTGCAGCTGATTTACTCTACTGTATTGAACAACAGGGTCAGGCTCCTCATTTATATTCGAACTACTCCTCATTTATATTCGTACTACTGGAAGCCCAGGCTTGATCTGTCTTTCCCTTGGTCCCCAGTCATGAGGAATCAGGCAGAAAGAAATTTGGGAAACAAACAATTTGTTTTCTCTGTGACTTAGTTTGCTGTCTAATCTGAAGATTTTTTTCAGAATCAGAAAACTTTCCTGGATTCTCACCAGTCCTATGTTTAACAGAACGAGACTTAAATTTCAAATTTTTAAATTTCAAAATCTATTACATATACAGAATGAACATTCATGAACAGATACCTACACAAAGGTAACAGAGCCACAGGTGGTGCACACACTCAGCAGCACAGGTACTCACACGTCCTTAAGGTGTCATACGTACTCAACAAATACAGAAAAATACACACACACTCCTTACCTTTCTCTTCCTCCACAGCCATTGCTTCTGCTTACTGTAGCTCCAGCTGCAGACTATTTGTACTCTTTTTTCTGAGACATTTTCACTTTCAGTTTCTGTTCCAGAGAACTGAAACTGGCAGCCTAGTATCGGTTTCTCCCACTAGTGTTGCCACTTCTGTTTGAATCTATTCCGAGAGGTTTTATCACATGATGTAAAGATATTAATGACTGATCTACTGTACTGTACTCAGGAAGGCAAATGTACATTACTATATTACATTTTAAAAATCCACTGGACTACTGTATAAATTCGATTTAACATTTAATATTTATTTTTACGAATGCCCTATCATTTATCTCCCAGGTGACTCTCAACAGTCTTCTGGATATTTATACAGCAAAAGCTGTGTTAACTGGCACTTCAGTAGCCGGAAAACTCTATTAACCGGCATCTGAGGGACGCGGCAAAAGCAAAAGCAGAAGTACCACTTCCGGGTTTTGCTGCCGCTGTGAGCAGAGTTCTTGCCACTTCTTTGGCCGCAGCCTGGGGTGAAGCAGCCTTTGTGGGGCAAAGCAGCCTGTTCAGGGCCCCTCTCCCTGTCCCCCAGCACACTGACACCAGGGAGTACACCAGATGGTGCACATTTGATTAACCGGAATATTCGATTCACTGGCATCCCCCATTCCTGGGGAATGCCAGATAACAGAGCTTTTACTGTATCTAATTCCTGGAGACTCCGGGAAGGTTGGCAACCCAATCCTGAAGGGTTGGCAACCCTAAATCCCACATAGGCTCAGTAGGACCTAAGAGGGCATGCCTGTTACTTTAAGTACGTCTACATATGGGGTAAAGAACTACGCATTGGCTGTGCCTCCACAAGATGCAGGCTGCACAGTAGTTCATTACTAATACACAGTAACTTCTTACTACTTTGCGGAGTGTCGCATGGCACAAAGTGTGATATAACACTAGTGTGCAGTAGTAACAACCTACTGTGCAGTAGAAATGAGTTACTGCACAGTCAGCATCAAAAAAAAGTTGTTTAGTGATGCCACTGCGCAGTAGCTCTAGTTACTGTGCAGTCATTTAGTACTTGCGTATGCAAGTAACAACTGTGCAGTCAGCATCTTGTGTAGAAGCAGCCATTGTCAAGAAGGTAGCAGTACCTGGCCCTCAGAGCTTTGTGTATCCTGTCTCTAAGCCCCCTGCACTGGTTTGTGACAACCCTTGAGTAAGGTTCAGGCAGGGGAAGAAGTATCTCCCTCACTACCATGTTGCCTGGGAAAGGGCAGCCCAGGACCAGACCTGCTTATGAATTCTGTATGTATGTACTTACCAGACCCTCCAGAGAAAACCCTCTGAGGGGAGAGCAGGTAGAGCCCTTGTGCAGACAGCATCACGAGGAGGGCATCAAACTGCCCAGGCAGGGTGACTGAGCAGGTACCCAGTGATCAATAACTTGAGAATTAATGCTTCGGTATTCACTACTGAGCATTTCATGGGCAGACTGGGGAGAAGAGAAAAAGAAATAAAATCCATGGTTTATTTTTTCAGCTACCAATGTTATCTTCTTGGAAACCATCTGCTATGTGTATCTCAGTGGATGACTGCTACTGTTGATTTTTTCTAATAAATGTGTGTTGAAAGGGTAGTGTCTGGAAAATGTATCTGATACTTGTTCTGGGTGGAACAAATATTTTCCCTCAGCTAAAAGGAAGTATTTAGAGCCGGGTCCTACAGCAGGTTCTATGTACTGGGTAATTCCATGGACTTAGGTGCCTAAATGCCATTTTACTCCTTCCTGTTCAAGTTTGCAAATCTAATCCAGGGGTTGTCAATTGGGGGTACTTGAGAAGGCCCTAGGGGGTATGCGCAGGTGGACAGGGACAGAGTACTGCCGCCACGCATGATCCCGTGCTGCCGCGCAGGTGCCACACATCCAGCCAGATGCAGGGGCAGGAGAAGCTTGCACATGGCAGCTGCTGCCACTCTGCATCCAGCCATGTGACACCCCCCTGCCCCCAGCTCTGTGTCCATCCACCAGGGGTACACTGACCCAAAGGTTGAAAACCCCTGAATTAATCCACCTAATTTTGTGACATGGCATCATCTCACTCTTAACACTGAGTCCCAGAAAACCAGTGAGGAAAAAAAGGACCCACCTACCTGTTGCATTAACTGTTTTTTCTGGGACTCAAGCAAGGGGCAATATAACCTGTCCCTTAGATGCCCCTTCCAAAGAAACCCCTTCTCCACTTTTTCCTGGCTAGGGGTGACAGATAGACTGAGCTAGGTCTTTTGTTCATCACAGGGTGCCGAAGGGTGCACTCTGCCCCACAACACCAAAAAGAAGCCCCACCTATACATGTATATATGCAGACAGTCCTGACTAATAAAAGGGGTTTTTCCCCTTCTCATTTAAGGACTACTGCTGTCTCATGAGCCTCTAAAGAATGTTATGTCACTGGGACTATAGCCAAGCCCAGAATAGTACAGAAGACCCAGATGAGGGGGGGAGCAGAGGTTCCTCTATGGGGCACATGGAAAGAACAGATCCAGGGAACAGCTTGTGCTCTCCAAGACACTAGGTAGGACCCACACTGATTCTGTAGATCCCCTGTAGATGGGTTGTATGGGGTTCAGAGTGTTAGCTGAGGCCTTAACCTGAATAAAAATTACCCTCAGCAGCTGAGGGGCAGCATCATGGCATTTTCACTGACGACTCCTTTGAATACTCAAGCGGAACAGTCATGGTGCCCAGTGGCAAGGCTCCCCTCCCTTAGCGTGAATTAAGCCCGACATGTTGTTGAAAGGAGTTGCACCAGCTATGCCAGTATTAAATTTGTGTCATGGCCTATGAACCTGCTTCAGAGAAGGACCATACAAGAAGTGCAATGCAGGGGGTGGGGGTGGGGTGTAACCCTGGATCAGAATCACAGGCATAAAAGTGTAGGGACAGCTTCCAAATCATATTAATCTGATGAACCCAGATCTTCTTGAAAGAGTAAGTTGAGTCATTTCCCTGTGGGGATCAATGGCCCTTAAAGTCTTAGGAGTGAGAAGGTCTGGGCATGTATGGGAAAGGCAACAACTGTTAAGGCTGGAATTGATATTTATTTGGTAAAAGTTCCAGTCACAAAACCAAGGAGAAATAGCCCTGCGTGATGCACTGTAGGGCATATAGCCCTGTGTGATACACCATAGGTGACACACCATAGGGTGTATAACCCTGTAATACTTCACCCTGGATGCGAAGGGGTCACCATCATCTCCAAATATTCCAGAGTCCGATAAGGATCCGTCCCCATTCCTCTAAGTAACAAACACATTTGTAAAACACCAACATCCACTCTCCCATGATTTGTTACCCAGGCACGGACCCAAATTCTCCATTTGTGTTCCCATGCCTGGGCAGCCCAAATCCCCCAGGAGATCCTGAAAGATCACAAGAGGCTGACAAAAGTTGAGAGAGACAGACAGACAGAAAGACAGGATAGTATTGGTAGGGGACCTTACAGAAGGACAAGTGAAAAAGATGTGGAGGGAGGTGGCTGACAAATGCCAAAAAGGGGAGCATGCTGATCTAGCAGGGATGGTTATATGAAATATCTTGCTGGTGAGGGAGGTACAACATAGATGGTGCTTGGTGAGAACAGCAAAGTGTCCAAGGGAGAGTTGTGAGGATGAAGAAACAGTGAGACATGTTTTGGGAAAGCACATATGCAACAGTTGTGGGGGAAAGGGTACATCATTTTTTGAGCATCATAAAAATAATCCAGCCCTTAACACAAGAGATAGTATTGTACAGGTTCGTACCAAAGGGGCCTAAGGAAACAACATTAAGGGCTCTGTTAGCAGGTTTTAAAAAGCAGTATATGAAAAGTAAGAAACCTCTGAGTTTTTAAGGGCTTGGCTTTCACTGAAAGAGAGTTCCTGAAGCTGGGGCTGCATGCACTGAAATACTACATCAGTCGGGACAAGGAAGAGATCAGAGTAGAGGAGGCAGAGAAGAAGTGGAAGAAAAAGGACCAGACACACTTGTTTCACTGAACCAGCAGAGAGAACTTGTGGAAGGGTCAGAGAGTTTCAGATGGTTACTGAGGCAATAGGAGTTTTTTTAGAGGGAGATTAATTGATATTCATGGGGTCCTGTATGAAGAATTATAGTTCTGTAAAATATTTTTTGTGGGAGGTTGATGTATGTTGTTTAAGGGTTTAACACATGTAGTTGTATGTTTTTCATATGTAGTTGTTTTGTGATATGAAGTGTAACCCAGGTGGCGGCCCAATAGTTGCCACCCCGCCCAATATCAGGGAGGGTGCGGTGAGAGTGGGGCAGGGCTTCCAGTCAGCACCAATTTACTTTCCAGCCTGCCCCTGCTCCCTACAGAGAAGCCCATGGTCTCGAGAAGGTCTAACACTTAACCGATTTAACTATTCACACTTTATTTACAAAACAAGAATAGGAAAGGTTATTTACAAGTGAACTTAAATGGCATAATCACAAAACAAACCAGAATGGATTAGTCAACCCTTGACTCAAGAACCACAGGTAGGTCAACTGGCAGCTTTCAGCCACTGCTGAGGTGCTACCACAAGGAAGCAAGGTGCTCACTCCCTGCAGCTCCAACAGGCTTCCCAATAAGTGACAGACTGCAACAGGTTAAGCTCTTCTGGTCTGCAGCAATCAAATTGCATCAAACCCCAACCCCCCAAAGAGGCTGAAGGGTGACCCTCTGTGGCAACCAAAAAGACAAGCAACAAAGTAGTGTCCTGCAGCAATCAGCATGACCCAAGCACAAAGATCAGGGACTCCATCCGATGACAATCAGCTGCAGAATAAGGGACAGGACTGAGTCCCCTCTGAGGCAGTCAGTGGCAGGGGGTCAGCAATACAGGCAGTTCCCAGGGGTCGTTGCTCTAAACCCCTGCTCCAGATGACTGGCCAGACACCCCGCATGCCTCGCAGCTCGCCAATCCCGCTCTGAGTGCTGGCCTGCACCCTGAGCTCCCAGGAACCCTCGTCCTGACACTCTGCTG